GATGGCTTCCCCGAAAGGAATGTATTACCTCAGCTGTACACATGCTTTCTTTAAACAGTATCGGACCTCCTACCCCTACCGTCTTCACCCAAGTAGAATGCCCGGTTATTCTAGTTGTATTTGGGGCAACGTTCAGTCCACATGCAGCGATAATGAATGGGCGTTATATTCGGGTGAGGACGGTAGCATCCAACCACTCTGTTGTTGCACTGACCTGTGCTTGGCTTCTTTAGAACTTTTTGCTTCTGGCAGTGAGTGGCTGAGGCAGAAAGGTCATGCTGGAGTGAGTTTTCACTCTGTTTTTTTCTTTGCACATTATGCCCCCGTTTGCGATTAAACCCTCTGGGCCGCATGATGTCCGATTTTGTTTCTACATGAAGTACGGTCTTTTTTTCCTGTGTTTTGTTTTCTATTATTAAAAAAAACTTTTTTTTATTAATTTTTTGAAACAAGTCCGACAGTGTCACACTTTCAGTTTCAAAAGGGCAAAAAAAACATGTGTGGGTAACAAAATCGGGTGCGGAGTTTGAAAAGGGCAATAACGGTAAACATGGTTGTGGCCCGCATGTGATTTTGTTGCCCTTTTCAAACTCCGTGTGTGAGTTTGTTGCCCTTTCCAAACTCGGCGTGCGGGTAAAAATGCTTTTGTAGACCTTTCAAAATCGGCGCGGGAGTTTGCTGTCTGCGTGTGATTTTGTTGCCCTCTTGAAACTTGTTTGTGCCACAACCGAACTTGCCCCTAAGTTTTTAAAGAGGGCGGCGATCTTGAGATACGATCACTAAACTGAGCAACCCCAGGTATTTTATTCTGTTCATCTTATTGCATCGGAATTCGAACTTGCATCCGTATTTCGACAGTTCATCGGGTGTACCAACTGAGCTAGGCCTTTTCATTTCCTGACGCGGTAGTTGTTGTCCAAAGTGGGAGTAATTGTGTTCCTTGCTTATCTTTGCAGCTAGTGAATACTTGGCCCTGAAGTGTCGATGGCGGAGGCTCCGCTCCTTTGGTTCTGTTGTCGGATATTATCTGGATTCGAACTTGGGTCTGTATTTCAACAGTTCAGCAGGGCCTTCGTTTCTATGGTTCTGTTATCAGATGGTATCTGGATTTCGAACTTGGGTCTGTATATTTCAACAGTTCATGGGTGTACCAACTGGGTTAGACCTGTTGTTACCTTCTTATGATTCTGTCAGGCCCTATGCCTTTTTTTTCTTTTTCTTTTGAATCTCCCACGATGTCAGGCTTTGGACCCTTGTTCCATCTTGCAGACCCCTTCATTGATCGCCATCCAGATATTCCTGCTCCGCTTGTGTCCCTCTGTTCACTTGCTGATGTACTCTCCTAGTCAGTTTTGAAAATTTAATGCCCCCCGGTCAATCTGTGATGCCTTGTTCCACTACACAACACTGTACATGCATTTGGTGACTTTTGGTCGCTTTCTGGACCAAGTGCATTCGGACTAGTCCAACATTTTGAATGTATCCGGTCGAAATGCGTGTAGTGTTGTGTAGTGGAACAAGGCCCTTATTCCTGCTTCTCTACAATCTCTCTTCCCTCAACCCACAATTCCTCAGCTGAGGTTCCCTTCTTCCCTATCGCCATTCTGCAACGTGCCCTCCATCACCCACAAGGCCACTCTCCTGATCAGATCTATGATGGTTCAATCATTGTCTTCTCCTATCCCTTCTCTACCTTTTCCCCTAACTTAACTAGGAAGAAAGGCTCAGTGGGGAGGACCGATGAGGACCATAAACCCTAGACCCTGAATCCTAAGCTGGCCAATGTGGGCCTTTCATCATAGTTTCAGTGCATGTGGACATTCGATTAGGCAGTGGTTAAGGATCCACGCACGCTTTGCCGAATCCTATGTCCGCATTCTTCATTCTTCTGCGCTCCTCATGCCATTCTTGGATCTGTGATTAGTGGGGCCGGATGTTTCGACTGTGATGTTTTTTGTGGTTTTTGAACTCCTTTGAGAATGAACATTTTAAACCGTGATTTCCCTCGATTATGTTTGTTGTGTCTTTGGGCTTCAAAGTTCAAATGGAAACTGTGTCATTTGCCGGTTTCTGCCGTTAAGTTAAACCACCAGTACATGGCCCCAGCCAAGTTGAGAATCCGATGGAGCCTCTCCTAAAATTATGAGGCTCGGGACCAGGGCGTCTGAAGGGCCCGTAGAAAAGAAAATTGTCCCATGCCGTGAGGTGGGACTAGGCCCAGCCCTCAACCCAAAAAAAAACAATTGCGCCCACCCCCAGGCGGGCCCTGTCCGGAGTCACCTAACTTTTAAGAGAGGCTAAACCGCTACTGGCGTCAACACTCAGGCATGCATGTGAGCCCGGTAATTTGCTTTGGATGTTATTGGGAGCCTCAGCCGCTGTTTTTTTTTTTTTATATATGAAGGAAAAAGGGTGACGGCCTTGAGATATGATCATCGAGCTGACCGGCCCTAGGTAATTCAGGATTTTAGTATTTTAGTATTTTACTTATTTGCTTCCAGTGGAGGTCTGTATTTCAACAGTTCAGGGATGTACCAACTCAGCTAGGCTCAGCCGCTGCTTGATTACATATATAATAGGAAATCCAAGAGGAAGTATATGTAAGGTCCTATCGTGCTGACGGGGCAAGGTTTGTGTGGGATGGTGGTGTGACCACATATGTCTTACTACCTCCCCGCACTATTGTTAACATAGCCCAGAGTTTTGTGGCTATTTGTTCTTTTCATGGACTTGTGACAGTCAAGCTCACTTGACAATGTCTGAATGTTGTGGCTAAGCAGGTAAATGGACCGATGAGTTTGGTGGACGTGGATCGATATGCTATCGACATGTGCAAAGCGCTGATGCAACTTCACCGCGAGCACATCATAGTGCAAGATGTGAAGCCGGCAAACTTCTTGGAGGATGAATTAGGAAATGTAGTCATTGCTGACTTCGGCATTTCCAAGATTGTGGAACGCACCACTGCCAAGTACAGTCCTACTCGGGTTCGAGGGACAACCCGGTTTATGAGTCCCGAGGCCTGGTCCGGAGTTGCGATGTGGATGCAGTCTGACATCTGGAGCCTTGGATGCACCATATTGAACATGATCACAGGTATGAGTTTTGGTGTTTATCTTATCGCCTGGTCCCAAGCTCGGTCAGTCACGTTCCAACCGGTGCCAACATGGCAAGAAACCTGGTCAACCATGGGCCAATCTGGTCCAATCGAGACTTAGATCTGATTCAAACAGTGTGTGTGCTTTGTGAGTCCTGATGGCTGGTCAGGAGTTGTGGTATGGACAATCTGATATCTGCACTATAATAGCAGATATCCAAACCTGATCCAAATAGGACCCAAACCCAGTCTAACCCCAGTTCGAATCCGATCCTAACCCAAACTGAGCCGTATGTGACCTGGACCCAAGCACTTCTGTGTTGATGCTCGTTAACTAGTCAAAACCTGATTTGTGAGAACTGGTAATCGAAGGAGGTCTTGTTCTTCTGCTTTCTCACTATTCTTCCTTCTTTTTTTTTTTGGGGGGGGGGGGGGGGGGCGTTCTGGCTCCTTTTCCATTCTGGGGAGTGTCAGTCTGGTTCCTATTCCCCCGGCAAGTCATAAAAATTACAACAGGCCCGCTCCTCCCCCTTCTGGTGTGGAGGCCCGATAAACGGCATTGATTGCTTCCCTAGGGAAGGATGTACCATTCTTCAGCCCTGCCTAAGTTAGCCTATTTGGTCATGCTGCTGTACTTGATTGCTATTCTATTTACTTCTAGTCTAGGACCCTTGTTTTTTTTTAACGGACTTGTTCTCAGCTCGACTTGGTAAATGCGTTTGGTGCTAAAACCTTAAACCCTTGCTTGATGCCTCTTCGGCTGTACCCTGTCCCTGGAGGTCGTTTCTATATTACTTGTATTCTGGTGAAGGGTTTCTTCGTGGGGTAGGTGATAAGGCTAGGGAGGTGGCCGGGTTGAGGGTTTTGGATAGGCATAGGTTATTGGGTAGTGTAAGGTGGGTGTGGGGGGGAGGAGGGATGATTGGTGAGTGTGTCATGTGGTGTGTTGAGGGTCACTTGGAGGGGTGGAGTGGGTTTGTTCAGCAGGGGGGAGGGGTGTCTACTGGTCCTGTTGTGGATTAGCGATGTGTCTCTGGTTTTGCAGTGATTGTGTGTGGGTTAGAGGAGTTGCAGAGATGTTTTGTGACTGCGGTATGATTAGCCAGTTTTCAAGAACGAGTCTGTCGTTGTTTATTATGCCAAGTAGACCGTTGCCTATTTTAGAGGTCGATAACTTTTTGATTTTTTTGGCTTTTTTGTCAGGGTGAGTGAGGAGTTGTTTGAGTTGTTTCTTCCAGAGGGCGTGGATTTCGGTGTCTATTAGTTGTTTTATGGTGATGAGTGGGTTTTTTGGGGTGGCGAGTTGGTCGTCCAAGGTGCTGTCACATCTGGTTTTCCGTATGGCGCAGAGTGTGCTTTTCTTAATTTGGGAGGAGAGGAAGGCCTCGAAGCCTTTGAGTGGGGGTGATTGTTTGAGGTCGAGTAATGGTGTGGCGGGGCTAATTAGGAGAGGAGTGTCTGAGATTTTGTTCCATGATGGTTCTAATGCTTGCCAGAGGGATCTGGCCTTTGGGCAATCTGCGAAACAGTGATTCAGGGATTCGGGGGAATCGAGGTTGCATACCTTGCACCAAGAGTCTTGATCCGGGCTGTTTTTGTGTTTGCGTCTGCTAGCCAGCCATTGGTTTACTGGTACTGCTCTGAAGGCTATTAGCCATCTCAGGCTGGCTAGCTTAACCGGTCTTGTGGAGAAGATTGCGGCCTAGGGACGTTTGAAGTGGGTGTTGGCTAGTTGTGTTGCCTCCTTAGTCCACCTGTGGCGTAGCGTGTTGGATATTGATATGGGTTTGGTGAAGAGTCGATATCCTAGTTTGGGTGTGTAGTCGGTTAACTTACATAGGCTTGGGATGGGTTGGGACGAGACGAGGTGTTCCATGTCCATTACGTTGGGTCGATCTCTAGGTTGCGAACGCTTGTGTGGGGTTTGTAGACTCTGTTTCTTTCTCCTTTTATGATTCTGATTCTTTTGGAGTTGTTGGTTTTGAATGCTCCTTCTGCTCTGCTTTTCGTATTGATGTAGCTTACCGGGTTTCCTGATTCCTCTAAGGTGTATATGTCTCAGCAGATCCAACTGTTGTTGTGAGGTTCGTAGTTCTTGAAGGAAACGACTTCCTGAAGTGATGGGGTGTCAATGGTGGTAGCCGAGTCTCCGTATTGCCATTTTTGGTCTGATTTTAGTAGGTTTCTCCAGTGTAGAGGAATGCAGTCTATGATGTGGTTTAAGTTGGTTTGAAGGTGATGCACTCCTTTTAGTTTGTCTCGTATGTCTCTTTCTGTTTTCCAGGTTTTGTTTGGATCATCTCAGATGTGTTTGATTTGCCATATTCCCTTTTCCAGCCAGTGCGCCCATTTGGTTATTGATTTTGAGAGTGGGAGGCTTTCCCCTTTTTTGTTCTTGACCAGTGGGTTGCCAAAAAAGGGTTGTCTGAGGACTTCGTCTTTCTTCTTTAGACCTGTTCTGTTTCCTGGGAAGACGATTCTCCAGGTGTGTAGGATTTGCTCCAAGAGGGATTTGGTTTGGGTGGTGTTGTTGGTGTTATCTGGGAGTACTTGGTTGGGCTGTCTCTGTTTCCCTTTTGGGAGTGGCTAAGTTTTGTTAAAAATCCAGAAGAGGCCTCTCATGTTGGTTGGAGAGATCAATGCTGCTACTCGTCTAATGTGGTTTAGGGCTAGTGGGGTCCAGTGCAGGTTCTCTTGGAGAGCTTATCTTATGACCCATTTGATTTATAAGGGTTGGATTTGGCGGGTTGGATCTATGAGACCTAGGCCCCCGCCGATTTTTGGGCTGGTGACTATCTGCCAGACCACCTTGTGGATAAAGTGTTGTTTGTCTGGGTTACCTGTCCATAAGAATGCTGCTGCTTTTTTCCTCAATTGGCTTTGGAAGTTACTAGTTGGGAACCAGATGGAGGTGGCATGCCACATCATTACTAGGATCGAGTTGTTGAGTTCAGTACCCATCGTAGCAAGGAAGTGTATATAGATTTCCAGGTGTGAATTTTGTTAACCATTGAAGACAAGAGTGTCGTTGCCGATGTTTGGTGGCATGCTTTGCGATTGATGTTGATGCCATGGAAGCGGATTGGTGAGTCTGGATCTGCTCATTGTAATCCTGACGGGGTTAGCTCAATTGGGGAGGGTGTTTCCACGGTCCACCAGCCTACTGTTTTCGCCCTGTTAACTTTCATTTCTCAGGCCAAATGTAATGCTTGCATTCTCTTGTCAGGGCCTGAAAGGAGGAGTTTGATGCCCTGGTAAGTACGGTGAGATCGTCAGCAAATAGGAGAGTGGTGGGGATGTGGAGGGGTTGTCCTCGTTCGTCCTTGATGTTCTCAATTCTCTCGATGGATATGTTTTTTCTTAGGAAGACGGCGATGACCTCCATGATGAAAAGGAACATCGGTGCTGCTAGGGGGTCTTGTTGTCTTACTGACCTTGTCATTGGGTAGGGGTTCAAAAGGAAGCCGTTGACCTGAACTATCCCTTTTGCGTCATTATAGAGGATTCTCACACATTTTCGAAAGATCGGGCCTACTTCCATTTTTTTCATGCTGGCCTGAAGGAAATCCCCGTTAACTTGGTCATATGCTTTTTCGAAATCGAAGAAAAGGATGGCCGTTGAGATTCGTTTTTGGCTAATTATCCGTGTGGATTCGCAGAGAGACATTACATTACCTAATACGAGTTTTCTTGGAATGAACCCTTTCTGGTCTGGGTGGAAGCATCCTCCGGTGATCTGGTTTTTTCTGGTAGCTAGGAGTTTGGCTAGGATTTTGTATTGCAATCAGACTCACTTTCTTTCGCAACTCACATGCATGTAAACAGGTAGCGCAGCAAACTGGCGACAAGCGCCCACTCAGAATTCAGAGATATGGTAACCAAGAACGCAGTTCAGATACAAGATCACTTCAAATGTCTATGGCGCAACAGCGCCTGTACCACTCTCTGTTCGTCGCCATCCCAACTTTGCTGTTCACACGCACAGGATCACCCTGGATATCCCACACGCAACTCAATGTACACATACGCACACACACACTACACTCTACTCCTAGCTATGGCGGCTATGGCCGCTGCTACCTCTATTGCTATGGCTAAGCTCTCCGTCTCGCCCACTTCGTCTTCCAGCACACTGCAGACCACCTCGCACACGTCGCTGTGGCAGCGCTTCCGCATGGCTTACGCAGGAATGAATGAATGGCTGGGCGCTGCCTCTTAATACTTATGTAGCTCGTTGGTCTGGCCCTTTCCCATGCCCGTGGTGCACACAGTCTCGTACGGTACTTGCTTGAGTGGACTAGGACTGACTGGGACTGGGACTGCTGACTCAGCACGGGTAGACTCCACCACTTGCCCACTTGCCTCAGCCTAAACGTGAGCAGCTGCGAAAGGCCAATACTAGAACCTTTCGAAAGTATCGGTCCTGGCCTTTTGGATACCGTAGCAGCTACGACCTTGACCTTTCAGGATTGTAGCAGCTACAACCTTGACCTTTCAGAGGTCCTACAGCTACGACTTCTAGAACTCCCTAAGACCACTATTCTATAGGTCTAAAGATCGAACCCCTACAATCTACAGACCCTACGACAATCTATCAACTGTGGGAACAGACACAGGTTGTGGGTTCAACTCCTGGGGTCGACACAGGTAATGTACACAGGTAAGGTAAAGTCTAGGGATCGAGCCCTGGGATCTGCATTCGCTACTGTGAACAGGTGAATACCGTTTCACTCCCGCCGGCCAAAATTCGAGGTCCTCCTAGAATAACTTAGTCCAAGGCAGGACCTTTACCTTTTTTCTCTCTCTCATAGGCCCTAACTACGTCGGGAGCTGTTTCTAGAACTTCTGTTCTGGTAAACCAGCGGTCGTCCTCTGGTTCCTGATAAGCAAACCGGACCTTATATTGTTTTTGTGGACGACCTCTACCTCTTGTTCTGAATAAGTCTTCACCTACAATGCCGTCAATGTTGTACCTTTCGTCCATGTCTGGGGGTATCAT